GCACCACCTAAACTGTGCTCCCGGTCTCCAGCAGGTGCCTCTGTCCGTGTCCCACGTCCCGTGTCCCACGTCCCGAGTCCCGGGTCCAGTGTCCACCTGCTACATGTCAGCTCCACACGTGCAGGGCCAGCCTGGCACGCAGACCAGGTACCCAACGGCCACTGGGATAAGTGAACTAGGCCCCCGGAAAGCACCAGAAGGACTGGGCTGCGACAGAGCCAGGGCATCAGAAGGGCCCTCCAGCATCCACCACGCCTTCCTCTCCCGGCCTCCCACACCTTTCGGAAAACCTGCGAACTGGAAGTGTCATCCTGCAGCTCCAGTTCCAGAGCTCGGGGGCCCAGGGTCACACTGGGGGCAGGAACTTCCCTGCCCTTGTTCCCCAGGGACCTGACGGAAGGCACAAGCGTCACGGGGGCCTCCTGGGGTGAGTGCTGGGGACGGGGACACAGGGCCCCCCACTAGCAGGCACTCAAGGGAAACAGCAGCCCCAAAGCCAGCCACAGGCAGCTTAGTCAGCACCAGTGGCGGTGGCTGCTGACGGGGACAAACTGGCCTGGTCAGGCCCGGCTGAGGGACCCAGACAAAGGCCCTGCAGCCCCGAGGGCAGGGGCTGTGCAGGGTGTGCAGCGGTGGAGCGGCCTCCTCCACCCAGTGCCAGCTGAGAATATGTGGGGAAGGGGCCCGGCCTGGCGGCCAGGAGACACCAGGAGACGCTGGGACACCTTGTGCACAGCTCCTCGGCCTTGACCCCGGGTGGGTGAGACATCTGCCTGCAGAATGGGATGACCCCAGAACCGGCTCAGCACAGCTCTGAGGATTCGCCGGGAGACGCTTCTCAAGGAGCCAGCACCACGGGGCAGGCAAGGGCTCTGGGGAGCAGGCACCGGGTCCCCAGGGAAACAGGGGCATCGGGGGACGGAGAAGGGGTGGGCGCTGGAATGTGAGGCCTGGGAGGCAGAGAACCAGCCCAGGCCACGGAGGAGGCTGTGGCCTAGCACCTGTACCCAAGGCCACCCAGGAGGATGGTGCCCAGGCTGGCATGGTCCTGCCTGGGGCTGGGCCGTAGGTCTGGGCCTTGGTTCCTGCAGAAGACCTGTCCCTGGAGGGTGGTGGCAGGTTTGGGTGTCTGTCCCTGTCTCTGACGAAGTCTCTAACCCGACCCGAGCCAGGCCCGGTGCAGCGTGGCAGGTCCAGTGTGGAGCAGCTCTGGCCCCAGACCTCACTGCATGCTGTGGAACCTTCCTGTGTGCCTCAGCCTCTCCGAGTGACACCTAGGCACTGCCCAGTGACCTTCTGGGGCCAAAAAGGGCAGAGATATGAGCGCCCAGAAAACAACCCAACGCGCTCGACAGCAAGGTGTGTTTGCAGGGGGAAGGGCTGCAGGCCATCATACTCGACATGTGCTCAACAGGGAAGCCTGGGCCTTAGTTTCTCCACCGGTCAGAAGAGAGGTCGAGGCTGCTGAGCCTGCAGAGGGGAGGGAGACCCCCAGTATCCTTAGGGGCCCCTGCAGGGAATGGTGCCCTGAACAGCCCACCAGCCTGAACCGAGAACTCCTGTATCAGGAGTTAGGTCCTGCTGGGGTCCTTATTCTGGGACTCGGATGGTCTGTAATGAGAAACGGAAAAGCAGTGCCCCCAGGGTCACTGGGAAGGTCAAAGCAGCTCAGGCTTCAAAACCCTCGGCCTAATGTCAGCTCGAGTCCTTCCCGCCATGACCACTGGCAGGTTCCCTGACCCCAGAACGCCAGTGGCAACGGCAACCACTCCCTGCTTCCGGGCCGTCTTTCTGTCCAGCCCTTTGTGCTGATGTTCTAACACCTGTCCCCCACCCACCTGCTGGCTCCCAGAAGACAGACACTATTTCTTACCTGGCTTTGTATCCCTGTTTAGGGCAGTGCCTGGCAACCACCCGTAATCCATTCATTTGCCACAGACTTCCTGAGTGCCGGTTACAGGCTGGCAATGCCTAAGCTAACAAGTGCTCAGCACCTCTACCCTGGGCCTGCCAAGCCCACGGCCACAGGCAACAGGCCACACTGGGCGGGGAAGGGGCAAGGAAACGGCTGGGCACCTGGGCCTTCGGAGGGGCCGGGCCGTGAATGAAAATGCAATTGCAGGGAGGGGAGGAGTAGTGGCCAGGGAGAGGTTAGACAGTATCCCTCCCTCCGGGCCTGTGTCCTGCGTTGTGAGCCCTAGGCCTCGGGCAGTCATGAACAGAGAGCACTCCAAGTCCACTGTCATGTAGGGCAGTGACCAGGACGCCAGAGTGGTCACTGTAAAGGGCACCCGGCCATCACTAAGACGCTGTTCATCAAGCTGTCATTAGAGCAGTGACCTTGCTTGCTAGCGAGTGGCATCAAGGAACTGACTCAGAGGCTTCATGGATTCTGTTTGATAAATAAGTTTAGCTGCTCTTGTTAGCATCCTTTATCTCTTGCACTGTGCTACCTCCATGAGTGACTGAGTCCCCAGCTGTGACCCTGCTCCCCTCGTGGCAGAGTCTAGATCCATGACAACCAGCAGGCCCAGAGGGCAGAGGGGAGGGAAATGCACAGAAGCTGGGGACAGGGGGTACAGTGAACCTCCCAGGCCAAAGGAAGAGCTATGTGACCTTTGGCAAGTTCCTTCTGCTCTCTGAGCCTCAGTATCTTTGTCCGTGAAATGGGATCAATAATGTTGCCTTTTCCAGCAGTGGAGAGGAGTGTTCGAAAGTTCAAAGCTGGCTTAGTGAGACCCTGTCTTAAAATAAAAATAAAAGAGGACTGGGGCTGTAGCTCAGTGGTAGAGAACTTGTCCAGCAGGGTTCAATTCCTGGGAAAGAAAGGGAAATGGGCAAGCTTTGAGGCCAAACAGGGTGATTCTGAGGTTGGCCACAATGCTGCCAGGGTTGAATTTCCAGCTGTGAGGAAAGTTAAACACCTGGAGCTGCCCAGCAACAGGCGTCCTGCCCCTGGTCCTGGCCAAGGACAAACTGGTGGATCAAGCACCCAGTGGGTGAACACAGCAAGGCCAGCTCTGGGTCCCACATGGCTCTGCAACAGCAGGGCCCACACGGCTGTGCAGCCCGGCCCTGCTAGTCTGTTTAGAAGGTCAGTGCCAAAAGTTTTGAGGGTGGTCTTGCAGGGGGAGGAGGGGGAGGATGGCCCGGCTGTCACGGTGCCTGGATGGGGAGCAAAGACCCTCAGGGAAGGGCAGTGGGAAGCAAGAATTCCTGACAGGCCCTGCCCTCTCCCAGGCCAGCAGGGTAGACAGGCTTAGTCCATGCAGCCACAAACTGGCCAGCTCCATGTGTTCAAATGCAGTTTCTGGGCTCTGCAGACCAGATCAAACCCACTGGGAAAGGGCCCTGGAATCTAGAAACTGTTCCTGGCAAGACACTTGGGATTGCTTTGCGATGCTGCCACAGGAGCAGCTGCCTCCCGGGAACACCAACTGCAGTCAGACACTCATCACCAGCACCCGGGGACCGAGCAGATCCCGATGCCTTCAGCCCCACAAACTCGAGTCTCCCGCAGCGGGATTCAGGCTGGGTATTTTATAATGTTCCTAAGTGATTCCGGTGCAGATCCCCCACTAAAGTCCACACTCCTGGCCCTGGCTAGCACGCTCCAAGGTTCCAGGGGAGAGTTGCCAAGCCTCAGTTTCCCTGTCTCTCACGTGGAATCTTTGCGCCTGTCCAAACCAGGCTTTTGTGAGAACTAAAACAGTGTTACTCTCCATGGAGACTCACATTTCATCCGGGTGACGTCTTACCTCCCCAAGGGTTTGGCAGTGCCGGGGAGCTAGGAATTTCTCTGCCATCAAGCTCCTGGGCCCTGGCAAAGGTGTGCCAGGTGGCACACAGCTCCTCCTGAGGACCTGTGCTACCCAGAGCTGGTGACAGAAGTGCCACACCTGGAAAGGACTTGCTATGTTTCCAAGACAGACCATGGACTGCTGATGCAGCTTCGCACAGAGAGGCAGCTGCAGCCAGGCTGTGTTTACATCCCCTGCTCCATTAGCATGAGGACTGCCCTCCATGGAGGAGGAGGTGCCTGGCCTTGGTAGGGGTCTGCCGTGGCCGTGGGGGATCCCCCACTGCCCTGGGGAGCACTCCAGCCTTCCTCTCTTAGCCCAAGCCAAGAGGATCCGGCCCTGTTCTCTAACGTCATAAAATCTGAGGTCACCAAACAGCCCTAACAGACAGCCACCCCGCGCTGGGTAAGTGCCCAGGCAGGGGAGACCCTAAGCTGGGCCTCAACCCAGATGGCCTGGGGTCTGGGAGGAGGGTGAAGGTTGCTCAGCCCTGAATGGCACAGTGCAGAGCCCCAGAGAGCTGCCAGAGAACTGGCATTTGGGGCCCACTGCCCCCTGGGAAGACTGACTTAACCAAGCATGGGCTTTGGTTTCCATAAATACCCCGGCCTTGTGATGTCACCACTTCATGCAGACTTTACCGGCTTCTGCCCCTGGCATTAGGCCCAGCTGACAGTGCTCTACCTCAGCCCTGCCCACAGATCACCTGGGCACTGTGGCTGGACACGGACACCACACTTCTTGGGAAGACGGGCCAGGCCCTACCTATCTGTGCAGGACGCAGCACCTGCAGTACCCTCAGTCTGACTGCCAGCCTTCCACTGGGCACGGCAGAGGCAGCAGTTATGGGCATACTGGGGACCAAAGTCCTTCCCCAAATGGGAATGCTGTGGGCTGTGCCGAAAGCCAAATGCAGCAGTGGGCCTGAGGCCCCTGCATATGGATTTGGGAGAGGACACCTGTCCTCCAAGCCAGTCAGTCTCAGCCTGATGAAGACTTGCTGACTAATACCCTTTTCCTCAGCGTCACCACCAACAAACATCTCCGCTGCAGGGGACAAACAGTGGCTCCCCTGCAAGGTGGCCAGCTCCCTCTGCAAGCCACCTGCCCTCCCTCTGCCAAGCACCTCATTCCAGCTGCCAGCTGGGCTCGGCAGCCCTGGCCTCGGGCTCTGGGCACAACCCTGCCACATATACTCACAAACAGCGTCTTCGGCAAGCCATCCTGTCTGAGTCCCGTCCTCTCTTCCTCTCTGGCTGGGAAGGCTCAGCGTGGTTAAGAGGAGGAGCAGAATGCCCAAGAGAGATGCGGAAGGGAATAAAATTAAATCGAAGGGCGAGTCATATTCCTGGGGGTGGCAGGCTGAGCCAGAGAAGCTGGGGCGGGAGTGCAGGGCAGGCTCCAGAGGGGTCCTTAGCACGCTGGTCCCTAGACTGTGCCCGGGAGACTTGGGAGACGAGGAGTCACCATGGTCACCAGGTTGGGTGGCGTGGCTGCCACCTGGGACCTCCTCAGGATGTTTGCCTCCCGCACATCCGGGGTGGCAGGGCTTAGGGAGGAGGAGCGGAGGGCTGGGGGCAGTAGGCGCGGGGGTTTGCTCTCCCAGCATCCGGAGGAGGGGCGGGAGCGCAGGAGCCTCCCAACCACCCAGCTCCCAAGGAGCAATGGAGCGCAATCGCGCTGGACCAATCAACGCGGAGGCGCTCGTCGCCATGGCAACTGCATCACCAGGCGCTGCCGCCCCGTGGCGCTCTCCCTGCAGAACTGTTCGGGCAGGCGGTGGAGAGCGCGGGGCGCAGCAGCGAGGCAGCCCTTTCCAGCCCGCGCTAGAAACCTGGAAATCTGTTGCTAAAATGCACGCACCGCTCGGGGACTGCAGTGATGACAACTGTTTCCCAGGGAGGCTTCTCTCTGCCTCTGGCGCAGAAATATAGGAGCCACCCTGCCAATTCCAAGGCGAGCTCTGGCACTTAAACCCTCGGCACGTCGCTTCCCTCCTGGGAGTCCAGACGGTGCTACCCTAAAATGGGGTCCTTTTGGAGATGTCAAGGGCCCAGGAGGACTTGAGGCACACGGTGGCTGCAAGTCACAGCAGTTGTCGTCTGTGCCAGTCACGGTCTAAAGGGAGTTGGGCTGGGGGCAGGCAGTCTCTGGTCCAGCAATGGTCCCTCTTCCTCCTCCTCTCCCTCCAACGCCCTGGGCACCCACCTCCCAGCAGACAGGGATGCTGGTGGACTAGCAGACAGAGGCGGGTAAGGTGCACAAGGCCCCTGCCTTCATGCGGCTCACTGCTAAGGGGAGAGTTCCCACGGCCTTCTCACTGAGCTACATCCCCAGCCCTTTTAAAAAAAACTTTAAGAGCCAGGTATGGTGGCACACACCTGTAATCCCAGCACTCAGGAGGCTGAGGCAGGAGGATTGCCACAAGCTCTTAGGCTACATAGTGAGTTCAAGGCCAGCCTGAACTACATAGTGAGACCCTGACTCAAAATACCATAAAGATAAAAATAAAACTGTATTTTAAAACAGGATCTTGCCAAGTTCATCATTCCTTCCATCCTCCTGCCGCAGCCTCCCAGAGTGAATTGCAGGCGTGCACCACCATGCCCGGCTCAAAGGGAAGGGTCGGGAGGGGTGAGGCCCGGATGCTGGAAGGTGAGAGGTGGAGAGCCAGGCCCAGGCTCTGGGGCAGGGAGGAGCTGGGGGTTTGGGTGATGCTGAAGCAGCGGTTCCCAGCCGTCCTTCTGCCTGGAACCCCCTTTTCTTCCACACAGGTTTTTCTCTTTCGTGCTACCTAATCAGTCTGCTGTTTCCCTGTCTGTAAATCTGGAATCTCAAACCCACCTGCGGGCCTTCCATGGCCACTTTCTGTGCATTGCCGCCCTCACGTGGCCTTGTGAAGGCATCACCAGCCGCCTAAGGAGACGTCCAGCAGCTGGCCTGGGCCCCGCAGCCCAGGTCCCGCCCCTCACCGGGCACAGTGAGTTAGGGCCAGGATGGACCTCAGAGAGAACGGGGGATTTCCCAGTGAGGCACAGCAGAGAGGAGCGGGCTGGGGCTCGGCCCTGGCTCTATGTCCCTGCACGGGGCATGGGCAGGCAGCCCAGATGCAGGGCTTCCAGGTGGCAGATGGCTCCAGGAGCGATGGCCTCTCATGCCCCAAGGCTCCATCGCTGAGGAGCACTGTCCGGGGAGCCAGGCTCCTGTCTGGGGCTGGACATGGCACAGCCTGTGACGACGCTGGAACAAGGCGGCACCACCAGGGCTGCTTCTGCCTGGGTTCCCTGCTCCCCATCTGAGGGGGTCCCCAGAAGGGTCCCCTAAAAAGTAGGTCAAGCTAACTCCCTGCCACACGCGGGGTCTCGCAGCACGGCAGCAGCTCAGCCAAGGCACAAAAGCCCTTGTGCCCCCAGAGTTGGCTCACTGCCACCCTCCTGCCTTCTTCTGAGAGGGGATTCTCTCTCACCCTCATCTGACGGGGAGGAACCTGAGGCTCAGAGGGGAGAATGGGTACCCCAGGTGCGGCCCCCCAGCTTCCCCTTCCGGGTGTTCTCTTTTGTTCCCTGGGGGCGCATGGCATCCATTTGTACCCCTGTTGCTTTTTGGGTACTCCCCCCTTTGAACTGACATGCATCTCTTCCATGCTCTGCTGTTATTTCAAAGCAGGGGAAATGGCCAGGCCTGGTGGTACACACCTGTCATCCAGTGGAGAGGCTGAGGCAGGAGGATCTCTGTGACTTCAGGGCCAGCCTGGGCTACATAGTGAGTTCAAGGCCAGGCTGGACCACACAGTGAGACCTTATCTCAAAAAAATAAAAAGGCTAATGGCAAAGACACTGGCATTCAGAATGAAATGCCGGGGCTGGTGTGTAGGAGCATTCCCCCAACTCAGGGAAGAGAGGTGCAGCCGGCCTTAGGGTTGCTGCCCCTGAGCAGGGCTGTAGGCATGGTACCTACCACCCACCTGGCTCTGCAGGCTGGGGACTGGGGTGATGGGGCCCCAGCATGCAGACAGCCCCTGCACCCCAGAGGTATTCGCTGGGGTTTCTGGAAATGCCCCTGGCTCCACCTCCTCACTGAAGACTGGGAGGAGGAGGAGGTAGCTGCCGGAGATGGTTCTGGAAACTCTTTCCAGGCAGGACTCCCCTCCTCCAACTGGAAAATCCCAACCTGCAGGCTGACAGGCTCACTCCAGGCATCGACTCCATCGTGCCGGCCACCCGCAGTCACCTGTCCCTGGGCATGAGTGTCTGAAGGCTGGAGTGAGCAGGTGACAGGTTTGCAAGCAACAGGTCTCCCAGGCAGGGCCGAGGAGCCCCCATCCCGGGATGGGGGATGGGGCTGAAATGACCCCTACCCTTCTGGTGGCTGGGCCTTCCCCGTGGTGGAGCAGCACAGCCAGCATCATTCCACCCCCGAGAATCTCAGAACACAAATCCTTCAGGGTCTGCAATGTCCTTCCTACTGAAGCTTTACACTGTAAAGAAGTGAAGTATGAACGGCACAAATCACATCTATTTCCCAGAACAAAATAAAGCCTCCTCTGTCACCTCCCAACCATCTTCACACCCTCACGCCTGCAGGGGTGACCACTCTCTTCTGTCTGGAGCACATCCTTCTAGCACTTTTTCTCTGCCGCTAGAAAATAGATGGCACTACGTGGACCCTGAAAATGGCACCTATTATGACATTTAAGACAGAGACTTAAAATATGCACAAAGGCATAAAGGATGAGTCCAAGAGAACACGGGGAGGGTGCTGGGAACGTCTGGGTCCCCTCCTCTGTGATGTCCCCTGCCCACCCTGGCTCCTGACTTCAGTCTGGAGCAACTCTTCCCAAGCAGTTCTCCTGCCGGGATAGGTGAGCTCGCATGACATAAGCAGTGACACACGCCTCTGACTACATAAGCAGGATCACATCGTGTGGCTTTTTCCAGAACGGTTTCCCCATCCACGTTCCATGTGGAAGACTGAGTCATGGAATCTCTAAACCACAGACTCTTCCTAGCCACCAGCTCCCCATCACAGGCTTTGCAACCGCAGAGGTGCTTGGCAGAGCCCCCTTCTGCAGCGCAGCAGGTGTCACCAAGGTGCCCGGGACCGCTCAGCAGGGTCCCTGAAAGGCCCTCTCCCGGAGTGGCTGCATCTTGTGCTGCTTGGGAGGAGAGCTGGCCAGGGGGGACCCGGAACCCCGGGGCTGGCATCGGTCCCTGCTGCCCGCTGTGCCAGACATGCTGCTGGGTGAGCCGAGGATGGCCTGGGCCCAGAGCTGCTGAGCTGGGCTGGTGGGAAGCACCTCACGGACACGTGGTGTGGCAGGAGGAGGGACAGCAGTGGGTTGCCCTGCCTGAGCCCAGTAGGGAGCCCTGAGACAGCTGAGGCCTCCAGGAGGCAGAGAGAAGGGTACAGAACGGAGCCAGAGGGGACGAGAGGCCCTGGCCTCACCCGCCCGTGCCGTGCTCCCCCCTCGGCCCTGCTGTGCTGGGGTTATGGCCGTGCACCACCACAGCCCACCTCTGTGGAAAGGAATTTCACTGAGAAGCAAAGCATTGTGTTCCAGTTACAAACGCAGTGCGATGTGTGCTCACAGAGACAGGCTGTGACTGGCTTCTCAGCTGGAGGTCCCTCCAGCCCCCCCCCCAGGCTCCTGCCAGCTCCTCCCACTCCCAGCCGCCTCCTCCCAGCCCCAGGACCTTTGCACAGGCCGAGGGAGGGGGCTTCGCTGGGCCACTGGGGTCAGGGCAGAGCTGACTCTCTGCCCCAGCTCATGCCTTCTGCAGGGCCCGCGTCCCCTTCCGGTGGTTCCTGGGCATACCAGGCACATGGCCACAGAGAGAGCTCAGCTGCAGTCTGGCCAGGTGAGGCGGGGACACGTGGCCTGTCATCCTGCCCAGGAAGTGAGCACACACCGGGCTGTCAGGGGCCCCCAGAGCACATCCCACCCCCATGCATCTCCGAGACTAGACCTCTGAGCTGACTCAGTTTACCAGAAGTGCTCTGGTACAGAGTAGGCTCCTATCTCATTGGTCATAGTAACCAAGATCTATGCCCAAAACGGGGAGGTGATCGTGTGTCCAGTCCTGTTCAGATCCCACCAGAGTCCCAGGCTGGCTCTGGTTCCTGCCTCAACACAGTGAGGGGACAGGCTGGGACACGATCAGAGGGGACAGCTGGGATGCAAAAGACCCTGGAACCCGAAGCAACTAGAAAAAAAAGCAGGTGAGACAGGACCCTCGGGGGAAGGGCCCGAGAAGAGCACTGCACTGCGGGCACCACTTGATCAGTCATTCCCTCGCACCCAGGCGAGAGCTCTCCACGAACCCACTCTGCAGATGAGGAGACTGAGGCTGGGGAAGGAGGAGGGCCCTGTGTCCCGCAGGACGCTGGGGAGGCTGCCTGCTGCGGAGGGAGCAGCGAGTCCCCGCTGTGGAGGGAGGCGGCCTGGACACCCGGGGTCTCCTCTCAGCCCGGCTCGGTGAGACCCGGCTACCACTGCAGCCTCTGTTCTTTGAATCCCACCCAGGCTGACCTGTTTCCAGGAGGGGAAATCGACGCCCGCGCACCCGCCCCAATCACAGATCCCGGGATTCCATCT